TGTTGATACGGTTTACGTTGATTGAATTTTAGCAAATCGGCAGGAAAAAAACCGGAGGCAACAGGTAGAAATGGTGCGTCGGGCATGCCTTCAAACGATTTATTTTAATTTTGTTTATTGATTTCACACGTCAGTTTGCTCGTTTATAAACATTTCTATACACAAAATAGAAACTGAAAAATGCCTTTGAATTTCTTTTGCATGTTACAAGAAAACTTTTCAAATCAAATTCGCAATATTAGGGCTTTCCTTACAGAAGGCTAAACATTTTCTCATTCTTTTATAGGAACATTCAAATATCAAATAGTAATTGACACGCAGGTAACTGAAAAAGGTGTAACCTACATGCCGAAGGTGTATTATCCTTGCGATACTTATAGTATTTATATGAAGTATAAGATATCTCCCTATCAATAACAGTTTGTGAAACAAAGCAAAAGATAACTTAAACGTTGTATTTCATTTACCTAAACAAAGAAAAACAAAACTTACATATATCGCTTTTCTAGTTGCTGTTGTTTAAAAATCCTTATTTTTAAGTTTACAAGTAACGTCAAACTTAACGTCCAGGTTATCTGCGAAAAACGTTATTTTGTGTTATGTGGGCAAAATAACTGATAACCTGCACGTTAAGTTTAGCGTTAGTTAAACTCTAGGATAATTTCTTAATGTTTACGCGCCTTTAGACAACCGAATGCTAACAAGAAATAAAAAGTAACTCTTTTAGAGTGCAATGATTTTCCAAGCGCATTCGCAAAACCAGTCACCTTGCAAAATCTAATGACCTATCAGAAGCTGACGAGTTTCGGTCACGTGGTCGATGATTTTTTCGGAAACTTATTTTGATTACCTCTGAGAGTTTAGAATAATTTAGTGAAATTTGCACTTTTGATTCGATCGACTAATTTATTTCGCTATTTAATCCCCGGTTTGTAATTTGATTCGCGTTTTGTTTATGTTCTTGCTTTTAATAGCTACAAATAATTTATGTGTTTCTAATGAAAATTACTTCTTTGAAATTAATATACGGATAGTTTTCAAAAACTGTAACGTTGTAAAAGCCTTTTATTTGTATTCTATTTAAATAAGCAGTGTCGTAATTGCTCTAAGAAAACCAAATTAGTTAGGCAAATCGCAAATAATTCGGGTTGCATTTAGAAACGTGGACTAGTTGGCGAAGGTAATAATGTTATTGCTAGAAGAAGTAATGCAGATCAATGCAATTTTTTTTCTCTACTGACTTGATTAATTAATTAAAAGACAAACTAGGATTTTTTATTATGAATAGTTTCTATGGGCGATTGATTTATTTTAAGGTCGATAAAAAAGATTATTAAAATCTTTCTCGGCCAGTTGCACAAAAAAAATAATCCAGGATTATTGTTTAATCCGGTATTAAGACATTTGATTGACTTTATATTGCAGTAGGCAGCCAATCAAATATCAAAATTCTTGTTTAAACTCAGATTTGGCAAATAATCCAGGATTTTGATTATAAATCACTTTCCTGCAATCGGTCGTCTGTCTCTTAAATAAAATTTTGGTTTAAGAAGATATTTTTTTCACTACTAGCGTCTGATGACATGATTATTAACCTTTTTTCCACTTATAAAGTAGGCTTTCTCGGCATTTGTTCAAAGTGGTTAATAATGTGGACATTATTAACTAGTAGTCAATAATGAGAACAGTCACGCTGTCACTTTTAGAAAACACAACCCGAAATTTCGCTCAATAAACGTTTAGACAAGTTCTCTAAAATGAATAATTGCCACCATCCGCCATTTCCAGAGAAATTACATATCTAAAATTATCACATTTTGAAAAAATTCGAACGAAATTACTCTTTGAAAATATCTCAATGACAGAACAAAATACGGCCTGTTTGACTACTTACTTAATTGACATGTTAAATTAATAAACAAAAAATTCTGTCCAACCGTTCACTTTCTTATCAATATAATATGTTAATTTAGAGGACTTCAAGTGCTAGTAGTGAAAAAAAATAGTATATATACCACGGTAGAGAAGTCTATTATTGCCTTCGCACCTTACACCCCTCGGCGCAAGCGCCTCGAGATGTAATCTTGGTGCTCAGGCAATAATACTGTACTTTTCGAGTTTACTTGAATTGGCTGATCGTCTCGTTTTACAATTAGGATAACGCTTCGAGCAAAATATGATCAAACGACGTATCCTGTCAATATTTAAATCAAGACTGAACTAAAGCGAGACAATTAGAAAATTCATAGAAACCTCAAACATTTTTCCCAGTTTTGAAACGTATTTAAAATATCTTCCTAAACTTCAAACCTCAGAATTGATTTAAGAAACAGAGGTAGTGCACCTTTATATAAATCTGTATACAATTAAACCTTGCCTATTTTATAGGTTTACATGTTTCATTGAAAGAATAATTAAACATAATCATTTCAAGCTTGATTATTGCTATGAGGGCTTAAAAAACGAAATGTTTATGTAAAGCTTGAAGGCAAAGGTATTTCTATTTTTCGCCAGTTCTGACTTGCAAAAGTTAATAATGCAATTATTTCGCATAAATAGTGTATTATCTTTTGCTTTTGAAATTTATAATGAAAAGTTGGAGCTGAACGATGTTTGTTAAATGCCTTAAGGGCTCAAACGGCAAAAACTAGATCGTGTAGTATATTTCAAAGCAACAAAGTTGTAAACTTCCCGGCAGCTTTGAGGAAGTTACACATCTGGATCAAAGAATCGCAGATGAAAATTCTAGCAGCTCGTCTTATCTCTACCAACTTTTCTCGGTAATTATCATCAGAAAGCGCTTATGATAAGGTATACTACCTACAGTACAGACGAAAGTTTGGAACGGAAGCAGCCAATGTCAATTGACATGAAGAAAGTAGGGAAAGAAAATGCGAAAGAAGTTTGTATGCAGGAAAGATACTCCAAATCAAGAAGGTGCCCTTCAAAATATCCTAATGGTTTCCAAACCTAAAAAGGAAATACTTATAATTTAGTAAAATAAAATCTTTATCAAAAGGCGCCGGATTAGAAATTTTACAGAGCGTTTACTACTGAAGTCTTTTGCTCATTAGTGAGCTACTTAAACTTAAAAAAAATTTATCGATTCGCTACAATCTTTAGATCACAAGTTATTAGCAGCCCGAATTCCGCCCACTTTCTTTTAATTATAATTGTTAAGAAATTGCCATTTTAGAATCCGCACGAGTGAAACTGAAAAACATGAGAATTATCAAAGCAAAGGAAATTGGAAACTTAAAGGAAGGCAATCAAAGTTAACTTTAGGAATCACGATTTGAGTAGATTGCCTTGTAAAACATTTTTTATTCCTTTTTATACATTTACTTCGCTTGTTCGGTCATTACATAAAATTCATTACGGTTGAAGTACTCGGTTTTATGTTCTTTGCTATTTGAATTAAACTGTTTGTAGGTGAAACTCATTTATTGTTGTAATAATCTTTATTTATTTTTATAGTTGTGTTTATTTTTGTGGGGGAGGGATGGGTCTCGGTTGCTGTAAAGGTTTAGAAAACGAAGGAACCTTTGAGGTCTCCTCAGAGCTTCTGAAAGCTGTCAAATTCTCTTGAAAGAACTTGTAATGAGATCTGTACATGTACCTACAGAAAGATGGGCACTCCCACTTTTGCCCAAATCAAGTAAAAATATGCCTATAATTTAGGACTAATGAAAGACTAATTTGTACTCGCTTACTTCTGCCGGAAAACCAATTAAAGTGGAGGTGCTAACTTCAAATCGCGTTAGCACTCCCACTTGGCCCGATTGAAATTTTCTTAGTTGCATCAAAAACTCTGAATTTGACTAACTTGTACCCAAATTAGATTTTAATTGTTTAAACAATTTGTACACTATTTAAACAATTTTTAACTAAAATACGATTTTCAGTACTTTTTCAGACTTTTAATCCTTGAACTCGTAGAAATCGATTGGCGAAAATTTGACATCGCGGCCTCTTTCCGTTCTCGAGTTAAGACGAGGAACAGACGGACAGACGGAGAGACGGAGGAAACCATCACATAAGAGGAAATTTTTTTCTTGTACATGAGGTATACATATTTGAATTATTAATATATATTTTGGAACAAAAAAGTACTCGTAATTTATTAAATAAGTCAAAAGGCGTAAATATGCATCTAGAGGACTGAATTTCCACATCCCACTCCATCGCCTATTTTTTTGCCCACTTCCGGAACCAACCACACATCCTCAAGATAGCCCTGTTTAGCCTTACCACTCACAATCATTTCAATATTATTTCAATATGCGCTTGCGAAGCGCCTTCACTGATAGGCAATTTCCGACTAGAACGTCCTTTTCTGGGAAAAACACCTCAAAAGTAGAAAACCAATTACTGTTCATGGGCAGGTGCTGCGTTGCACCGAAATCTGTAATCCAAACATTGGGGCAATCCACAGATTTGACGATGTCCTCTTGACTAACAAACGCAGACCCTTTCTGACACTTCGCAGACTTGGTCTCCTTGCAATTCTTGCAGTTCCGCTTATAGTGGCCTAACTCGCCACATTTGTAGCATTTTGTCACCACTTCTACCGCCCTTACCGTAACAATTCCACTGATTGAGTTTGTTGGGCTTATTTTTAGTGGGAAAATAGGCAGCATCCTCACAAGAACTAGTTGAACCTCTCCCTAAGATTATCCAACTTTCGATTTTCCTTTATTTGGGGGTGGTAAAACCGACAGTGCGAGGAGAGTGCAGTGATACTTTGAGAGGAACTATGTTTTACATACAGGGTGGTGCAGTTGAAAGGTTTCCAACAACATTTCGAGTGCGGATAACTTCAGTTTTCAGGAGAATGTCCCAATTACTCTATCAAATTTAACAAGGAAAAGACCAAAACTTTTCATTCGCCTAGTTTTAGTTGAATTTGACTGTCATTTTAGAGTTATGCAATTATTTGTGACCCATTTTACAGTGATAGCGTACGAGCGATAAGAATAAGACATCAGTTCGATTACACTTAACCGTATGCTTTTGATGGACGTAGTAGTGAGTGAATTTAAATTCGTGTATTTTTTGTGTTAATCGTATACGCTGAAACCATGGATCAAATTCTAGTCAGTGTCAAACAAGGACATTTGAGAGGAAAGGAATGCAAAGACTACTACGGAAGGAAATACTACAGTTTTCAAGGTATTCCGTATGCCAGGCCACCTGTTAACGAATTGAGATTTAAGGCAAGTTCTTGAAAACTTATGATTTTCTTAGTAACTTAATTTAATTATAATTTCAGGCTCCTCTCCCGCTTGATAAATGGGAAGGTGTCTTAGACGCAACTAAGGAAGGCAACAGATGCTATGCTAGGCATAATTTTTTTCAAAAACTCATGGGATCAGAGGATTGTCTCTTCCTAAACATATATACTCCCTCTGTGCGTATACTTATTCATTTTTCCTACTACCGTAGGGAATTTTTCTTACATGTGTACATATGGGCCATGTATATTTTTAAGAAAACCATGTCAATGTCTATAGGCAACCAACATTATCCGCGACAAACGAGAGTTATTTTTAAAATTCCTTCTCCCTTTAACATTAGCTCGATTAACAAACTTTGCCCTTTTTATCCATTTTAAAATCCGTGTCCACATTTACTACCCCTACCGATTACTATTTCCTTTTTCTTTCTAGCAATCAAATAAATATTCCGGTGACCCTTAATTTTTTCACTATTAAAAATACCTATCTAACATAAATCACAACAGACCCTTTCAGATGGACGCTTTTGAACTCTGTTTTTCTGTACAATGGAAAATTGGAAACTCCGAGAAAAATTTTGAGGATAACGAACCGTTGGGGTTTTCTTTAGTGTTATAGTAATAGTAATAGTAATAGTAATATAATTGCTTGTTAATTGCTGCCATGGATATTAGTCGCTTGTTACGGGTGCAAAATTTATCGGATCTAGTATCGGATACAGTCAAAAAAGCACCGACAATTCTACTGATTTTTTTACAAAAGGGGTAGTTTTCGCTTCCTTGAAATATCGTACAAACTTATACACTATACACAACATTCTTCATTTGAAACTAAATAATTGTTCTTTTTACAGTACAATTTGACTCTTATTCTTAATTTCCGAATATGTTTATCGGAAATCAAAGCATAAGTTCCTTTTGCCTTTTTTAATGAAGTCAAAATCACAACTGAATGACAAACCAGGAAAATTGCTCAATGACAAAAAAGAAAGTTGTAAATTTTAAGTATGTAATCCGGTTGTGAAAGTTCGAGATCTAGATATGGAAGAGGAAATTAGAGATCAAGTTGAAAACTCTGAATTTATTTTTTGGCATTTTTTCTCAGTCGACTTGCTAATTCCACTCGAATCGCAGAGGAAAAATACCTCTCCGCTTTTTGCTTTTATAAAAGATCGCCCCCCATTAATAACATTGTTTGATATCACATTACAATCCACGCATAAGGCGAATAAAATAAATCATTCTAGCTACCTTATAAATAGCTAATAGATGTGCTCGTTGCGTGTGTCCAGTTGATTACAAGCACATAATCCATTATGTAAATGTTTTTTTTCCAGTTACATTCCCCTTTATTGCCCGTAATGTTCTGGATACACGGCGGTGGGTACGTTTCCGATTCCGGGAGCTCGGAGCTGTACGCGCCCGATTTTTTGGTACCCGAAGACGTCGTGCTTGTCACCATTAACTATAGATTAGGAATGCTGGGTACGATAACTTGCATAGCGAGCTATAAAACGAACACTAACTGCAGGTTTTCTAAGTCTGAAAGATCCCAGCTTAGGTATACCAGGAAATGCGGGGTTAAAGGATCAAGTCTTGGCTTTAAAATGGGTGAAGAGCAACATTGAGCAATTCGGAGGTGATCCTAATAATATAACGATTTTTGGACAAAGTGTAGGCGGTGGGTCCGTGCACTATCTAATGTTGTCACCGTTGAGTAAAGGTATGCGCTTACGGTGTGCATATACAATAGTACAAAAAGGCTGTAGGGATATTCCACAAGGCCATAATTCAGAGTGGAAGTGCGCTGAGCAACAGAGGCCGTGGCCAGTATTCGACTCCGTTAATATCCAAAGCGTTGAAGCTCAATTCCATGACAGATGTAGAACTACTCCACGTGCTCAAAGAACTGGCTGTAGAAGAACTCTTTGAATTGCAAGAAAAAATTCCTGAAGTAAGTTTGGGCTTTTCAAAAACTGAAGTGATGAATAAACTTGTAGCCGTACCTCGTGAGCGTCCACCGACCCTTTGGTTTTGTTGTAGAGCCATACCTGACCGAAGGAACTTTCTTAGCTGAGGAACCTATAGATATAATCAAATCAGGTAGATACCACGACGTTCCTTTAATGATAGGATTTACATCCAGAGAGGGATTCTACGCTACGGTCAGATACAACAATGTGCAAATGGTCGGAGACTTTGAAGATGAAATCGCATGCAGCTTGCAGGTTGCCAAAGGAACGGAACTGTCCAAACAGATCGCGAACAAAATCAAGAAGTTCTTCTACAATAACGAAATGCCATCTATGTTAAACACAGATGCCTTCCACCTTGTAATCCTTGGGTCAGATTGTTTTATACTATCTGTAGATTTTTGTTTTAGTTACAAACGGACAACATGTTCTTGAGGCCCGTATACAACACCGTTCGATACCATCGCGATACCGCAAGGTGTCCGATTTATTTCTATCGAGTGTCGATTGACTCACAACTGAATGCCGAGAAACGGTTTATGGGGATTACTAAACCAGGTAGGGTATTTCCTTAGTCGAGTACGTAATAATTAATCGGACACGTTTCGGCAGCAAATTTGCTATCATCGGCACACTACGATGGATACCTTTATTACCTTAGCTAACATGAAACTTGTGTATGTTTCGAAAAACCGAACACGTTTTTTATAAGAATTTTAATGAGTTTTCATTTTGTAAATGTAAGTGGTTATGAAAAAGTAGGTAATTTTCGAAATGACCTAAAATTCAAAATGACGGCATGTTACGCACCTCAAAATCCACTAAACATAATTTTTATCGACCAAATTAGTTGGTTCTATATGTAATCCTTCATCAACTCTGAGAAAATGTTTCAATCATCATTAAAAGCATGCTGTAAATGTGTCTATTTTGAATGTTTGCTTCTTTTACACACACCTCTACTATAAAAACATAAAGAACCAAAAGTATTACAAATTAAAAATTACATTTGGCGATTGTTTTACCACAGCCCGAATGTCCACAGGTTAATACCAGAAACAGCCAATTAGGAACCAACTTATATGAGTGGGTGTATTGGAGTAATTAGATGACTTGTGCTATAAGAGCGAATGCCAATGCCCCCAATGTTTCCACCAGGTTAACATACGAATCATTTTCTGAATTTTTCTTCAAACTTTTTTATTTACAAAATCTGAAGTGTTTTCCGACGAAAATTGCACATTTTCTGTACTTCTTCAGAACAAGTTTAGATAGGAGGTTTTGATTTGAATAGATTTTGTTGGTTTTGTTGCGATTTTTACAATAAAAAGACAAAACGAAGTATTGGAAAAAATCAGCAAATCCGGATACGTTGTAACTACTCTAAAATTTTGAGAAAAAGGTTCAAGTGCTGAAAGTCGACAAAATGCTCGTGTTGATGGAAAAAAGGTTTTAAATTGCCATAAGCTTGCTGTTTTACCTGATTTTGTTATTCTAACAGTTCGAGTAAGAGGTGTCTGATTTTTACACTTCATCAATTAGCAATTTTAAGAAATGAATGACTTTCTTACATAACATGGCGGAAATAATTAGTCTCCAATAAACTTAAAAATCAGAGTAAGCAGATTACTAAATGCTGATTCAAGATAAGCAGAAACAAACAATTAAATAGAAAATAGGACAGTGGTGTGTTTTTTAAATAAAGGCGTAGGATATAATTAAAAAATTTGCTGTGGCTAGCACAGATACCACCCACAAGTAATGTTACATGCCTGGCAGTTTTGAATTGAACAGTTCTCGCTGTAAATTTTGTGCACTTCATAAAAGGTGAAAAGCGCAAGTGTTACGCCAATGGATATTCTGTTTGGCGGGAATCTGAATATTCAAGCTGCATAATTGGTAACCCCTTATTTATCTAGAAAGTATGTTTATAGATTTCTGTGTAACTATACAAAATGGACTCATATTTGAATTTCTTATTGATTAGCACCTTGCTATGAAACTCTGGAAATATTTTCTTGATTTTGCCCATTCCTGTCTATAGGACATAGTAGATTTGGTACGAATTTGCGATCCGATTAATCGCAGACTTTATGTGGCTGTTATTTCAAAAAGATCTACGAACGGTGTCTGATTTCAGGCGTGTGTCATGCAGACGAACTGGGTTACCTGTTTATGAGCGAGAGTACCGCGAAGATTGCTCCCGGCAGTATTGAAGACAACGGAATCAAAGTATTTACTACTCTGTGGACTTCATTTGCAAAAACCGACAACCCAAACCCCACGGAAAAACATCCTCTGATCGACGTGCTCTGGAAACCGGTAAAGGAGGGGCCGATTGACTTCCTCGATATCGGTGAAAACCTGACAGTCGGCGTGAACCCCGAAAAAATTCGTATGGCGTTTTGGGACGGAATTGATCGAATGTGTTCAGTGCGATAAACCATGGTTTTTTTAATTTCGGATTCAGTGTTTTTTTTGTCTAATAAAAAATATACAATTGCTTACAGTAGAACGATCACATCCTGAATGTCCACAGATTAATAATAGAAATATCTACTGAGGAGCCAACTTAAGTGTAATTTAAGTGGAATTTTTAATTTCCATGTAAGGTCTAAAAATTAAAAAAATATATTTTAGAAATTAAATTAAAAGTAATAAATTGATTAAAAAACAGTATTTTATATCCGAGAAACAAATTTCAAAAAAAATTCTAAATGAACATAAAAAAATCAAAAGTAATGGGAAAAAATGATCAAGCAATAGGAACAGCGATCGTTGTATTAATTAAAAATCACCAAAATCTATTAAATTATTTTGAAGAATTTTAAAAAATCTGCTGTATCAATAAATTATAGGAAAAATAGTTTCTCCTACTATAAAAACATGCATAAAGAAATTATTCGCTTCTAAATTTTTAGAAATTAAAAACGGTGAAGATCAAAACAGTAACGTAGATTTCACTCTTTATATACAAAAATAAATTACAAGGATATGAAAGAAAAATCGAATATCAGAGATGAAGAGATTTCTTGCATAGTAGAGGTAGATGGGAACGTGATATTTTTTATAAATGAGTGGGTGTATTGTAGTAATTCAATGACGATCCATTAAACTAACAACTTATGCAATAGGAATCATTTTCTGGCGTTGTGCGCGGGTGCACCATCCTGTTGAAACTGACAGTTTCCAACTGGTGTTTTTGGTTGTGTGCCGTGCATCTTTGTATTCGTAATTAAAAATGCGACTCAATACAGTAAGTACTTTTTAGCCTTAAATACATTTCGTGAAAGGTGGTGGCAGATGATATTGTAAATGTTTAAGCATGATTATAGGAGAAATAATTTTCCCCGAAGTTTGTCGTACAGGTGGAAAACTATTGTAATTGTAAAATGCAAATTGGAAAAGAAGCAAGAAAGTATATGAGCACATATCCTGGAAGGTTTTCTGTAGCTTTATGTAATTTGTATGCAGAGATGAGCAAAAGTGTGGAATCAAGTAAATATCTCTAGTGTTTTAAGAGATTTGTTACGAGATCTGAAACTCAAATTTGTTAAAAGCTATTATTACTGAAAATTCACAATATCTCTTAAGAGTCCAGAGATATTAGCTTGGTTCCTCATTTTTGCCCATTTCTACCTAGGGGCCAGTCGTTATTTTTCAATTTGAATTGGGTTACCTTTTTAAGAATGTGGGTACCCCGAAATTCTCCCGACAGCATCGAAGAAAACGTAATGAAAATATTTGTTACTTGTGGACTTCGCTTGCAAAAACTGGCAACGCAAACCCCACGGGAAAAAAATGGAAAAAAAACCAAATTCTTCACTACTTTTTGATGAAATGAGGTAATTTGCTATTCTTTTTTCAGGTCAACGCCCTTAGGCTATAAAATCAATCAAAATCTAATGCTAATGAGAATATTGGGTAGTTTTCTTATCATTAATTTAAATTAACTAAGGCAATGGCGAACTAAATGTATACGTAATTTATATGTACATCCAGCGAGTCGTGTTGCCTATTTTACAAATTAACGTTCTGGTGGAATTAATAAATAAATTTATTTTTAGCATTTGTCCTGGCAAGTTTCCACACAGTACCTTGATATCTTATCTGTAGACATAGCATAACAGCCGTGTCCGTTCAGTTCAAGTGGAAATGTCTAACGAACCGATTGTGACCGTAAAACAAGGAAAGCTAAAGGGAAAAGTATGCAAGGATTATGATGGCAGACCGTTTTACAGTTTTCAAGGGATCCCCTACGCGTTGCCGCCGACGGGGACCTTAAGATTTAAGGTTAGTGTATAATAAACGAGCCACTTTCGCTACCATTGCTACTAGGCGCCCAAACCGGCTGAACCATGGTGTGGAATCCGAGACGCGACGTCCGAAAGAGAAATCAGCATCTCCAGGCACATGATTACCTCCGACATTGTTGGAGCCGAAGACTGTCTATTTGTAAACGTGTTTACACCATCAGTACGTCTAATGTTTCTTCACTAGATACTACATTAATTTTGCAGTTAACAGCACCGTTAAGGCCGGTCATGTTTTGGATGTATGGGGGTGGGTATCTGATAGGTTCGGGAAATAGCGACTTGTACGGTCCTGATTATTTAATAACGGAGGATGTAGTAATCGTAACATTCAACTATCGACTGGGCATTTTAGGTAGGATACCATTCATTTAAGTCACAACTACTGTGGCCACTCCTCAGGGTTTCTTAGTATGAACGACCCCTCGTTGGACGTGCCGGGAAACGCAGGTTTGAAAGACCAAGTTATGGCATTGAGATGGGTGAGAGAGAACATCGCGCAGTTCGGAGGCGACCCTGATAATATAACAATCTTTGGTGAAAGCGTTGGTGCGGCATCAGTGCATTTCTTAATGCTCTCACCAATGAGTAAAGGTGCGCGCTGAATGCATAGGGAAGACCAACTGCTCGTTCAGGCTTGTTTCAGAAGGCAATAATGCAGAGTGGTAGTGCCATTGCAAACCGCGGCCGTGGACAATACTCATCCCCCTTATTGGCTGCCGCTCTAAACTTACCATCGGTCGATGATGCACAAATCTTTGGTATTTTAAAAGATATGACCGCAGATGAGTTGTACGCATTGCAGGAGAAAGTGCCAGATGTGAGCGCTAGTTTTTGGCCAAGGAGGTTATTAGTGTTAGTTTTTAGAGATACCAAACCCGCTACTTCCGACCCTTTGGAGCAGTAGTCGAACAGTATATCAACTCGGATACTTTTTTGGCTAAAGATCCGTTGGATATAATTAAATCTGGCGAATACTACCAAGTGCCGTTGATGATGGGTTTTACATCAAGAGAAGGATACTTTGTTATTAAAAAATACGATTACTTAAGTCAAATCACTGGTGACTTTGAAGATGAAATACCCTTCAGTTTCAATACAGTGAAAGGTAGTGATTTATCCAAGACCGTGGCGAAAAAAATTAAACGCTTCTTCTACGGCGACGAAGAACCGTCAGATGAGAATACCGACGCATTTTACTTGGTACCGCACTTTTATTGCTACAATCACCGTTAATCATTCATTTACAGTTACAGTCGGACAACATGTTCCTGCGTCCCCTGTACAATAGCGTCAAGCACCATTGCAGGACCTCCAAATATCCGATTTATCTCTATCGCATGTCCATTGAATCCAAGTTAAACGTTTTCAACGAACACTTTCACAACAAAAAGAAGGGTAAGTAATTGTGGGTTTTTCAGAAGTACCTTTAAGGTTCTTTAGGAGTGTCTCATGGGGATGATTTGGGTTATCTGTTCAAAACCGATATCTCACCGAAAATTAAGCCGGACAGTATCGAGGAAAACGGCATGCGAGTGTTTGTAAAGTTGTGGACGACATTTGCAAAAACTGGAAATCCGAATCCTACAGTTCCGCATCCCCTCATACACGTAAAATGGCAGCCGGTGGAGCAAGGGACGATTAATTACCTAGAGATTGGGGAAAACGTAACTGTTGGTGTCAACCCTGAATCTACGCGAATGAAGTTCTGGGACGAAATTGAAGAATTGTGCTTTAAAGCGTCTTAATTTGTCTAATAAAGAACTACTTTGCTTTTGTATCTACTTGCTGATCCCACATTTATGGTGCAGCGAAAAATCTTTGTATCGATTTCCTTTTTGTAAAAAAACCAAGAGACAAAAGCCGGTAAAAACATTAAAACAACCCCCACCTCATTATCCTCAGTTTTCCCCGGAGTCTCCATTTGCAACGCGATTGTAGGACAGTAGGGTTCTCAACCCTATATCCCACCGACATCTGATAATCATAAGCGGTTTCGCAAACGTCAATTTCGAGTAAAATTAACAAAAAAAGGTATCATAACCATTTGTTTTATAAAACCATTGTAAATCTACACTGATTTTTGGTTCGGTCCGTTTAGTAAAGCAAGTTATTCGAGTTCTATAGAGTGTTATACTTAACATGTCTTTATCAAAACAACATTTATACCCATAGTCTTTATTTAGCCTCAGAGACAGCAAACCCATCTATTTACATTATTACATTTACTAACTCAAATTTTATATTGTAAATAACTAATTTGCATAGGAAATTACGCTTACATATTTTTATAAGACAAATAAACTATTAAGAAATAAATGAGCTGTGTACAATATTATTAGGTGTAAAAATACATCTTCCATTCCCCCTTGTTATGTCTGCAATTGTAACTATTATATAATAAGGATAATTACCTGAATAACCTTCCATTTACAGATGACTTCTGATAATTTATAATTACTACAACAATGTATTGAGGGTCATTGTAAAAATTCAAATGGAAATTTTTGGGAATTTATATTAATAATATGCTTTGCGAGCACCTGCAATAAAAAATGCTCTAAAAAGGTAAACGGCGCCTCAACATAATAAACAACAAAAGAGAAAACTGTTATTCTTTCATTATAATAAAATAACACAGCTGTAGTAATCTACATCGTGTTTTTAATTGTATAAGAGTGCAGTTATAATATTTTTATGGAATAATAGGATCTTGAGTAAATAGCCGCCGCATATTTTTCGTAAAACCGGACCAAATCTCATTAATAATTCATTAATTTACACAAAAGTCTATAACCTGTCGTCTTATTAGCAGTTTATGCACAAGGCCACATACACCTTACACCTTCGGTCGTTTTAATCACACTTCATCAATTATAGTGATCAAGCAAGACTCTAAACTAGGAGCCCTTTTATAATTTTCCAATAAATCTGGCACTACCAAATTTGAGCGAAAGTTGTGCATGGGAAAAATAATTATAATAAAGAGTTGAAAAATAGCTTTAGGCCAGTCGGAGAACAATCAGAGAAACTCATAAAGGATTTTTATAAATTGGCTGAATGGAGCCATATTGTATTATATAAAAAATAATTATGTTTGAACTCATTTAGAAAAAAATTTGGAATTCTCTTTTGAAGTTGTCTGCCATTTAAAATAAGAATATTCGTATAAATGAGCAGTTTTTGCTAGCTATAAGGTGATGTTTTTTTTTGTATACAATTAATATGTTTATTTTTGAGTATTAAATAGGGCTGACCACGGTATAGGATTACTTTTTCAGTACTCGTAAACGTAAAAACGTGAAAAAAGAGAAAGTGGAATTTTGATCGATTTTAGTTTGCCGCTATAATCAAAATTTTCATTTTAAATTTCTATTTATTATTGTCTCCAATCGATACCAAAGCGCCAAGCTTTGATTTTCAGGTAGGACATGAAGATTTGTTTTTGTGGAGCCAGCTGTCGATCAAATAATTTCTGTATTCAGCAAACCTTCAGGACCAACTTTTCCAAATAAAGGATTAGCTTTCAAGATGGAATATAAAAATAAACGAAAGCAATTCACAACATAATACAACAATAAAACAATGAATAAATCAGAGCTGGGCAGAATACTTTCAAAAAGTATTTGAATACTAAATTTTGGTGCAGTCGATTTTTGGTAAAAAAAGGAAGGTTTATACACTGCCTTTTTTTGAGGCCCGAAGAAAAAAATTGTCTCAGATCGACCCGGAAAAAAAATTTTCTTATAGAATGTGGCCTGTAGAAATCCATAATTTCAAACAGTTCCAAGATTGGGCTACTAGTTCAAAAGTTACAGCCCTTTGAATTTTCTTTCGACATTGGTTTCTAGTCCATAACTTTTGATTGAGAATTCTAATCGAAAAAGTACTAATTGTTTTGGATTCTACGCACCTAAATTAATAAGAAAAAGTGTTTTCCCGAGAAATTTTGGTGCAGTCGATTTTTGGTAAAAAAGGAAGGTTATACACTGCCTTTTTTTGAGCCCCGAGAGAAAAATTGTCTCAGATCGACCCGGAAAAAAATTTTCTTATAGAATGTGGCCTGTAGAATCCATAATTTCAAACAGTTCCAAGATTGGGCTACTAGTTCAAAAGTTACAGCCCTTTGAATTTTTTTTTCGAAATTGGTTTCTAGTCTATAACTTTTGATTGAGAAGTCTGATCGAAAAAGTACGAATTGTTTTGGATTCTACGCACCAAAATTAATAAGAAAAAGTGTTTTCCCGATAAATTTTGGTGCAGTCGATTTTTGGTAGAAAAGGAAGGTTGTACACTGCCTTTTTTTGAGCCCCGAAAAAAAAAATTGTCTCAGATCGACCCGGAAATAAAATTTTTTTTATAGAATGTGGCCTGTAGAATCCATAATTTCAAACAGTTGCAAGATTGGGCTACTAGTTCAAAGGTTACAGCTCTTTGAATTTTCTTTCGAAATTGGTTTCTAGTCTATAACTTTTGATTGGGAAGTTACTTTACGAAGTGTCCAAATTAATACTTTGCGAAGTATTCGAATACTAAATATTTGTGAAAGTATTTGAGTTACAAATACAAATACTGCTTCCATAAAAGTAGTTGAATACTTTAAAGGATTTGAATACTAAAAAGTATTTACAAAATCTAATACTGCCCAGCTCTGGAATAAATAAATAAATACATGCACTTTCACACTAAACTTAATTGGAGAGAACCTACAAGCGCCATCGAAAATTATCAGAGCAATAGCTAATGCTCCATGGTATGTAACTAACCAAATAATTCAGTAAGACTTTCGTATCCAAACAGTCCAAGAGACAATTCGAAAGAGAAACCAAAAACATCACCAGAAACTAGAGACACACGCCAATATTGTATTACGGCCACTAGTACAAGAGAAAAACTACAGAAAGCTGAAAAGATGTTCAATAGACCTGATATAGGGTGAAAAAGGGGTCTTTTCAACGGAGAAGCCTTACACGAATATAGAGAGACCTTAACCAGTCTCTCAGCCAGCTGAATAGCTTACAGAATGTAATTCTGAGTGCTGTTATAGTCTCTCAGCCAGCTGAATAGCTTACAGAATGTAATTCTGAGTGCTGTTATAAATAAATAAATTTCTATCTAGTATCTACATTGCCTGTATACACATTTAGGTATCAATATTGTCTATATCGCTATCTTTGTGGAAAAATTGGCTTTTTATTGCTGCCTAATGAAATAGTCTTTTTATCTTTTTAAATTCTAAATAAAAATAATTAAAAGATTAACTCGTCGAGTCGGTTAACATTATCAGTTATCGCAATTTCTTGGTCGTGCAGTATTAGACATGACGCCCATATTGAAAGTCCAACAAGGTTATCTTAGAGGAAAGTTATGTGAAGATTTTTACGGTGGCACGTACTTAAGCTTCCAAGGGATACCCTATGCGAAACCTCCGATTGGAAATCTCAGGTTCAAGGCACCAGAGCCTCCGGAACCATTTGACGGTGTTCGAGATTGTACAAAAGAGGGAAGTCGGCCCATATCCAAACATGTCATCACAAAAACGGTGAGTGGATCTGAAGATTGCCTTTTTCTCAACGTTTACACTCCTGAGGTAAGTGCATGCGTATGATTCCCCTCTGTAACTCGAACGTTAGCTAACAGAACCTAAAGCGGTAATGTTCTACGTTTATGGAGGTGCTTTCATAATGGGCGCGGGTGATAAAGACTTGTACGGTCCTGACTTTCTAATAAGTCAGAATGTTGTAGTTGTAACGATCAACTACCGTCTTGGACTGTTTGGTAAGTAAACAAACGGAGGGGGCGTTCTTAAAACAATACATGCAGGGTTTCTCAGCCTGAAGGACCCAACGTTGGAAGTGCCCGGAAATGCTGCCATTAAAGACGTGGTCCAGGCATTGAGATGGGTGCAAGAGAATATCACGCACTTTGGAGGTGATCCTAATAACGTTACGATCCTTGGCGGATGTGTCGGTGCCGTTTGCGTGCAACAACTAATATTGTCCCCACAAGGGAAAGGTTCGGAGAATTACTGCATAGTTGAAAACCCTCAATTTGAATTTAAGGGCTGTTCCATAAGGCGATCATGCAAAGTGGTAGCGCACTGGGTACGAGAGGAATTGGGCAGTGGTCAACTCCTTTAATCAAAAAGGCACTCGATCTAGAGGAAGTGAATGACAGGGACATTTTCAATATCCTAAACGAAATGAGCGCTGAACGTATTTTTCAACTGCAAGAGACGATTCCAGACGTAATTTTCTATTTGAAAAAAACTTTGAGAAATTTGTGCTTTTAGACATACTTCCCTGACGTCCCCCGTCCGTTTGGCATCGTACAAGAAGCTTACCAAACGAAACAGATGATCAAATCAGAAGATCCTTTAGACGTGTTGAAGTCTGGTGACTATAATTCTGTTCCATTAATGCTAGGGTATGCGGCACGCGAGGGCTATTTGGTCGGCTTCCACTACAAACAACATAAGGCGAGTGCGAATTTTGAGAGACAAATACCTTTCCCCCTTAAAGTTCAGGAAGGTAGTCAGCTGTCGGATTATGTTGCAAATGAGTTGAAAGAATTCTACTTTGGAAATGATTTGGAACAACAGCGTTCGGATGATTTTTTTGTGGTAGTATTTCAGGATAAATTAAACAGCCCCATATTAAAACACATAACAGTTCGTAGGTGATAACGTGTTTGTGCGCCCCATTTACAAATCTGCCAAATTACACTCACTCACCTCATCCACCCCAGTATATCTGTATAGAGTGTCGCTGGATGCCGAATTAAACCGTTTTAAGACAGTATTCAACTCCAATCAAAAGGGAGCTGCTCACGCCGACGAATTGGGCTACATATTTACGCATATGAAGACTCCAAAAATTCGTCCGCATTCCATTGAGGCAAAAGGTGTGGAAATGTTTACAAAGCTGTGGACTAACTTCGCCAAATACGGCGATCCCAATCCACCTGATGCGGATCCATGCAAGTGGGGGCGTTGGAGGCCTGTGCAAAACGGGGAAATGCATTTTGCCGATTTAGGAGAAAACTTTACAACCGGAATAAATCCCGAAGAGCACCGCATGGCATTTTGGGACCGACTAGAAGAAAAAATCGCAAACGGCATGTAGTCGGTCAGTTTGTAACAGAAATACAAACAATTTTTTTATAATAAAGAGCTCGTTTACCAGCTTCTGTCAATTCGACTTCGGTATTAGACGTATTCAAACGAACTCTCTCCTTGCGATTATTTTATTACCGTGGCTCATTTAATTACCTCATTCCGAATATACATACGCAAAGCAGTATTTATGATCCTATTCTATTTATATGTGAACTTACATTTCTAACCCCGATTATTACTTTATTTTGCTAATTGCCTTTTAGCTTTCTCGCGGTTAAATAATATACCAATTTGGGTAGCATAATTGAAACATCTATTTCCTTGCAATGCATAAACACATTCATACCTAAATATAACTTACGCATTCTCATCAATTTAAAAATTCCTATACAAATTCCCGTGCATACAGAAGTCTGGTTGCAGAACCCCCTCATGTTTTTTAGTCAACTGTATTTATGAATGAAAAACAGAAACAAAATAGCATAGCATGTTATTGTGCACGGGGACTATAAATTGTAAGTGATAAATAATAATTACTGTTATAAATTAATCCATCTTAATTTATTATTAACTAAATGTAAATAAATAAACGACGTAATATTAAATTTGCGCTACAATACTATTAAATTCACTTAGAATTGTCGCCTTTTTTTATTTAACGTTAAAAATCACGCAACTCACTTGAAAATACAAATACTGATCACAACAGCGATCCAAATCGCGAAGCTTTTTCAAGTGTCCGTAGGGATCACACGGCATGGTTGATTCAGAAAACGCGAATCTTTATTCTGAACTGTTAATGCTTCCATAACCCAGAATCAAATAATAAATAACGATCTTTTGTGGACACCTACTGGTCGTATCCCCGGCTCAAACGCGAATAATAGTAATAATAATGATAATTCCCGGGATAATCCCTTCTTAATTTCTTTATTGATAAAATAACGCTTACAAAATTGCGTTTTTAACGATAACGGACATCTTTAATCCCTAATTCGTGTCTTCATTTCTGCTCTACCGATTAAATGGGAGGTGGTAAACTATTGATAGAAATGAATTTGTTTAGAATTGAATTTTCTATAAGATAAAATTGCTCTGGAACGTTCATTTTCAAATATAATTGTTTTTTATGGAAAAACTAAAGAAATTAATCCCGAAAATTAACAATTTGTTATTGCTAAGTCAAATTCATCCGATCTTTTTTAAAACCCGTGATTTGATAGCAAAACAAGAAAATATGCCGAATTATTATAGGAATGAACATATTTCCCTGGCGCAGCGTGTCGTGATGCCTTTCATTCCTATAAGAATTCGGCATTTAGTTTGGCGTTGTGTTGAGTAGTCAGGAAGGTATGTTCCTGCCTTAAAAATTTAAGTATACGGTGTAGAAACGAAAGTGTATTCACTAAATTCTGTGCTAGTTAAAAAGTTTCAACCAGTAAAGTTTCCTAATCATGAAGAACGTTAAAGCAACGCCCAACGTTTCGCTATTTTCAAAATTTTACCCGGGGTCTACAAATTTTAAAGAGATTTTAAGACAACAACCGTTCTCAACATTCAACCTAGCCGACATTTTATCGTTATACGCAGTGGGTTCGATGATACAGCCAAAACAATTCATCCGGAATCCGTCGGCAAACGTAAATTTCAAGAAATTGCAACTAGAAAAAGTCTGCTATCTATATAATTATTGTAAATCTAAATTGTTTTTTAGCTGGGTCCGTAAAGCGAATAAAAGAAACAATAAAAGCCCTCTTTCACTGTCGCCGTTTAATAAAGTGGATTTTTTTACCAAGCGGCCCCAATTTTTGTGTAAATGAATTATTGGAAATATTTCTTCCTCTCAATCAGTTTTCTTTCAATAACTAAAGTAGCTATTTCATGGTAGCTGGGAATTATTTTATTGATACAATCCAGATAAGAAAGTGGAAGTTAACGTGGGTCAAAAAACGAACTAAGAATTTCAACCCCACGAAATAAGAAAACCTATTTCAAAATATTACAGGTATTTGTTTTTTATAATTATTGTATCGCAAATGTATTTACCTGCGTTGTTTATTACAGCTAATTAACAATAAATTTATTTTTACGGTCTTAAAATGAATTAATATTACTATTATTTATCACTTACAATTAATAAGATGACTCAAGTACATCGAAGTTGGAACTGACTGAAGTACTCTACAATTTGCTTATATAGTAAACGAACAATTCGGAATGTTCTACAATAAATAGGTCGTTTTTCTCGGAAGGAGTACGTTACACCTTCGCTCTTATCACCGATGACTAATCTTTCATGGCACTTCCAGGTCTATCGAGATTTCTGGAATGTTCTCTACATTATATAAAACTAAAGATCAAAATCTTTGAGGAAAATTCGCGTAAATTTAATATGTATGAAATCGAAGTTTAATAAACTTGATAACCAACGAGCTCCTGGATCACTGGAAATTTAACCAGCTCTTCCTTGGGTGAAGGGTGCAGTAAACGGGAGAAACATATCATAGAGACTAGTCGTTGGCAAATTAATACAAATTTACAAAGAAAAAGTTTGAATCACAGGTAAACTGTGTAAAAAGTTCAACTCGTCGCATGTCGCCAATCGATTTCTGCGGGTTCAAGAATCAGTGATTTTGAATATGCGCCCGATCAAAAGTCGCGTCAAAAAATTCCCTCACTGAAAATCGTATGCGATTCTTCGTATCTTGTTTGTATTAAAATGTAATATTGAAACGTTTCTAAAGATTAGATATGAAAATCTGAAGCATATCTAAGTAGGTAGCAATAATCTAGAACTTTCGTTTGTATACGACTCTATCAATCACTGACTAACCCTGAGATCAACAAACAGCAACTGATCCTTAAACTTTGTGCACGTAATGAGAGAACACACCCTAATGAAACATTTCTAAAATTAACCAGTTCAGTCGGTTCATTATCAATGTAATAAATTATATCATCTTTGAATTACATAATGTTTTGTTAGCATTTATCAGTCGTTGAAATGTTGCCAGTATTGCAAGTTCAACAAGGCTTTCTTAGGGGGAAATTGTGTAAAGATTTTTACGGCGGCACGTACTTAAGCTTCCAAGCGATACCTTATGCGAAACCGCCGACGGGAAATCTAAGTTTCAAGGTAAACAGTTCATCTGTTATGTGAAATCACCACACTGGGTAAATAATTAAAAGATTAACTAGTCGAGTCGGTTAACATTATCAATTATCGCAATTTCTCGGTCGTGCAGTATTTGACATGACGCCCATATTGAAAGTCCAACAAGGTTATCTTAGAGGAAAGTTATGTAAAGATTTTTACGGTGGCACGTACTTAAGCTTCCAAGGGATACCCTATGCGAAACCTCCGATTGGAAATCTCAGGTTCAAGGCACCAGAGCCCCCGGAACCATGGGACGGTGTTCGAGACTGTACAAGAGAGGGAAATCCGCCCATATCCAGACATGTCGTAACAAAAACGGTGAATGGGTCTGAGGATTGCCTTTTTCTCAACGTTTACACTCCTGAGGTAAGTTGCACGTGTATATAACTCCCCGCTATACCCGAACGTCAGTTAACAGAACCTAAAGCGGTGATGTTCTACGTTTATGGAGGTGCTTTCATAATGGGCGCGGGCGATAAAGACTTGTACGGTCCTGACTTTCTAATAAGTCAGAATGTTGTAGTTGTAACGATCAACTACCGTCTTGGACTGTTTGGTAAGTAAACCGCTGGCAGGGGACGTTATTAAAACAACGACGTGTAGGGTTTCTCACCTTGAAAGACCCAACACTAGAAGTGCCTGGAAATGCTGGCATTAAAGACGTGGTCCAGGCATTGGGATGGGTGCAAAAGAATATTGCGCACTTTGGAGGTGATCCCAATAACGTTACGATCTTTAGTGAAAGCGTCGGTGCTGTTTGCGCGCATTACCTAATGCTCTCGCCACAGGGAAAAGGTTCGGATAATTGCCACATAGTTGAAAACCCTCAATTTGCATTTAAGGGCTGTTCCATAAAGTGATCATGCAAAGTGGTTGCGCACTGGGTACTAGAGGAACTGGACAGTGGTCCACTCCATTAATCAAAAAGGCACTCGATCTAGAGGAAGTGAATGACAGGGACATTTTCAATATCCTAAACGAAATGAGCGCTGAACGTATTTTTCAACTGCAAGAGACGATTCCAGACGTAATTTTCTTAAAAAAAAACTTTGACAAATTTGTTCTTTTAGACGTACTTCCCTGACGTCCCCCGTCCGTTTGGAATTGTACAAGAAGCTTACCAAACGAAACAGATGATCACGTCAGAAGATCCTTTAGGCGTGTTGCAGTCTGGTGACTATAATTCTGTTCCATTAATGCTTGGGTATGCGGCACGCGAGGGCTATTTGGTCGACTTGCATTACAAACAACATAAGGCCAGTGCGAATTTCGAGAGACAAATACCTTTCCCCCTTAAAGTTCAAGAAGGTAGTCAGCTGTCGGATTATGTTGCAAATGAGTTGAAAGATTTCTACTTTGGAAATGATTTGGAACAACAGCGGTCGGATGATTTTTTCGTGGTAGTATTTCACAATAAATCAACCCCATATTAATACACATGATAGTTCGTAGGTGATAACCTGTTTGTACGCCCCATTTACAAATCCGCTAAATTGCACTCGCTCACCTCCTCCACCCCAGTATATCTGTACAGAATGTCGTTGGACGCGGATTTAAACTTTTTTAAGGCAGCGTTTAACTGTAAACGAAAGGGAACCTCGCACGCCGACGAATTGGGCTACCTATTTACGCACATGTTGACTCCAACGATTCGTCCGCATTCCATTGAAGCAAAAGGCGTAGAAATGTTTGTAAAGCTATGGACCAACTTCGCCAAATATGGCGATCCTAATTCACCTGAGGATCCAATCGAGCGACCGCGTTGGAAGCCCGTGCAAAATGGCGAAATGCATTTTGCTGATTTGGGAGAAAACTTTACAACCGGAATAAATCCCGAAGGGTACCGTATGTCATTTTGGGACCGATTAGAAGAAAAAATCGCAAGCGGCGTATTATAGTCTGGCAGTTTTTTCTATAAAACCATTCTAATATTAATTTTTTTATTTCGATAACACTAGCTCAAATAAACACTTTTTAGATAAGGCCTATTTTTTCTCATGATACTATTCGGAGCACATAAAAGTGGTCTAGGTTTTATTACAGATTTTGGAGTCTATAAAAAATAATTTCGTTTCCGTTTGAATGCTCCAAAATGGCACCGTTGTGTTACAATACGGACATTTTCACTCCCCCAACTCATTATTGAAATTTAAGTAGGCACTACAAATGTTTTGAGGCTTTTTCCTTGGACAGTCATAATATGTGCTGCATAACCAAAGTGATTTCCGTACATATTATAGCAAGGTCAAGAGAATAAGAAAAAGTTTCATACAAAACTTTGCTTTGTTTATTCGTAATTAAATCATTTAAGATGTGCATAAAATAGGAGACCTAACATTTGGGTAAGCACCTCAGTTAGGATTGATTAATTTAATTTGGCTATCACATGCATGGTTATATGAGGAAGAACAATTTCCTAGTTTAAAAAGAGTCAAGGTTCCAGGAACATTCAACCGAACAAATGTTACTTATGTCAGGTTCAAGTTTTTATTTTGTCGATTGTAAAACAGTGAACTTTTTTAGTTATATTTGTCATGTCTATCAGTGACGTCTTTGTTCTAAATTGTATCGGGGGTTGGTATTGATTTACACGCTGGAAATAGGTTGTTTTAGTTTGCGAATTAAACATTCTTAAGGAAAAATCAATCTAAAATTGCAGTCAGCATTTTTTGCAAACACCCCTGAAAGTCAGGGAACCAATGAAAATTACTAACATATCTACCCCATTACTATTCCACCATTAAATAGGTGTTACAAGATGATTTAGAGGTAAGAGAGGGAATTATTCTGTACGAAATTTGGGATTCTCGTTGTGGCTTTCGAAGACTCATGGCGAGAGATGGTTTGGCGATCAAACGGAACTTTGAGCCTAAATTAAATTGGCGTTCAGGAATACCGAGCTTAAAAGAAACAGTTAATCACTTTCAAGGCGGCCATTAGAGTCCACATTTTTAACCAGAAGTTTTCTGGAAGATCACCATTTGCCCCAGTGGAAAAAAATGACGTGATAAAATTCCAAATTTCAATCTTGGAGAATTATAAAAAGTGCAGACGGTTTTCGCGACACTCATCCTAATGTAAGTGCATAGATCGCGACCGATAGTTGTCGAAAGGTGCCAGTTTAACAAGGATTACAGTAATAAACCAAGGGATATTCACATATTCCAGTGTGAGAGTTGGAAAAATTCGTAATCGTGTCGTTTTCTGTTTATAAAGCAGATTCCTTCATTGAAAATAAACGCACAAGTCAGAAAATTCCTAGTAAAAAGAGAGTTAATCTAATTTCATGTGTAAAACGAAATTACGACAAAGAAAACTGTTAGTAAATCCAGATAATATTCAAGTTTATTACTCGTTCCTATAAGACTTGTAAAAGAAAGATCGATTTCAATCGACAGCTTTACGTTCCATTAAAAAAAGATAAATTTTGACTAATTGTATTATTAATTACCATTAAAATGAGAGATCCTAAAGTAGTAGAGAATCATATAAAATATTTTTAATCTTCTGTGTATTGTTATGAATTTGTTGACCAGTCGAGTCAGATTTTACCTTGTGGAGTAAAAAAAGTTCCATTCAATTTAACGAAACCAAGTTCAGAGGTCATCCATAATTTAGTTTGTCAACGTCAAATAAAAAACTAGGTTGCGTTTGAAGTGTAAAGGTATTTCGATTTAATTTCCAATGTTTGATCAAATCAGTGAGTGATAGTAAAAGAGATGGTCACAAAGGCCACCTCGAATTAAATTTTAACTATCCAGATTTGTGACAGGTGGACCTGGACATGTAGTAAGTAGAAAATTAAATAGAAAACCAATGTCAGAAAGGAGATGCATCCTTAAACCACCCTTAATATTTTTTTCTGATTTTTAATCGTTATACAATAATGTTCTGAGTTATTATTTACTGGACAGTGCAGAGTCAAACCCCTTTTGTAGTCAAATTTCAGCTAAAAAACAGGAGATCTAAATTATTTTCAAGCGAAGTACCGGTGCCTTGTCCCCTATTGTATTAGTATACGAAGAGGGACGATCCAGCCGCCAAAGCACTTTTTGGGTCATTTGATAGAGCATTTTTTTCGGATTTCAAAAATGTAAATATCACTATTTTTTTAAAAAATACCGCTATTAATTCGTAATAACGCAAGAAACTACGAACATCTACTACCCAAGATAAAGTTTGCCAGGCAAAAAAGAAGATATTTTACCAATATTTAAAAAATAGTGATATTTACATTTTTGAAATCAGAAAAAAATGCTCTATCAAATGACACAAACAGTAAAAATGACTTCCATAAGAAGAAACAAAGTTGATAATGGTTAAACGAAGACGAAACGTCAGACTTAAACTTTAAGACTAGCATCTTGTAGGTAGACGGAAAAAAGTCATCATAATGTGTCATTTATTTTAAAATACCTTTTTAAATAACATCGGTAAAAAATAAAAACGATTATGGAAAATTCCGTTTTTGCAGGATCAGGATCTCGGAACACAGTCGAAATTTTTTCAGTTTCAAAACGGCATTTTGTTAAGCTTCGAAATACGCAGCTTTGCCAAATTTAAACTACCTATCTACATATCTCTTACAGATCCCGATGGTGCCCCTCGAATTTGAATCAGACTGTATAGATCTGCTATATCATTATTTGTACAACACGTAGCCCGGGAAAATATTAATATTAATATCAAAACAGGCTTACGCAAAAACAACGGAGCAATAGTCATTAAGTGAATCTCAAGTAAATGTAATAATTATAGTTCGAATGTATGGAAAACCAATATGTAATCAACGTTAAAAGGGAATCGACGAAAATAACAAAAATTTCCCTTGAATTCTGGTCGTAGGGACTGTCTGAATTCAGAAGGGCGCGTTCTGCAAATCTGTAACAACACAAGCAAGTAAACAAAAGGGGTAGTACATAAAGTATTGCGACATACATAGCAATGCTAACGTCTGATACTAAGCAGGTAAATCAGACATTAAAACTGAAAAAGAACCCATAATTCGAACGATTTTCCACTAGCAAAACCAAAATTTTGGTGGAGAAAGAGAGAACCACTTCAAAGATAAGTATGGTAAAGCCAAAACATTAATCCCTTAAGTCAGGTAGACACGTAGTCAGAAAAGTAATAGTTACCAAGAGACATTTACATCTAATCAACTCGGCGGCAGAGACTTCACTAAAGGTGAACTGCACGAGCAAGACAAACTTAAAGAAGAAGGGAAAGCAACGACCTCGATGGGCGACACGAATAACTATCTGAAAGAAATTTATAACACGAGAATAAAGAACTAGGGGATAGAAGAATAACTACCTTGAACTAGTGGATTACAACGAAGATCACTAGATGGCGTACGGATATTAAGGGGACATTAGCGTAAGAATACTAAATATTGGCCACGAATCAAAAAAGTTAAATAAATTAAACTGAAAAAAAAACACGTTACAACTTTCATATTAGATTGAACCCCCAATTTACGACTCAGGATTCTAAGAGATTCATGTTGATATTTTTTGGGTGACTTCGTTTAATTAAGCTAGGTGGGTGGTTTAGTGACCGTCTGCCATTATACACCGAAATATATTATATCCTAATTAGCTAAATGGTAGGTTTACAAAATTTTATCTGAAATTTATCGTTCGGCATCCTCAAAAAATCTGGATAAATGATCAAAGAAGATTTATATCGCTGTGTAAACAATGTCGGATTGGACGTTGAGGTTTAGATCCAGGTACCTGAAGTGAATACGGCTCGTTTAATTACTAATCAAAAGCTCATCTCAATTCGTGGGATTCCTTAAAGTTAAACACAAAACGATTTTGCGTATCTAGCCTGTATCCAAGGTATATGTATTGTTTATCTGAAAGGTTCAGGCGACTTACCCTTCTTTACAAGGCCAGCCAATGCTCAATCCGGCTGTCGCTTAAAAAATTCAATTAAATTCCTATATTAAGTAAAAGTTGTTTCATTTACTGCGTATACCAACACATCCATTTTTTTTAACAATTTACTGCCATAACATTTATTAAAATCTATGGAATCTGCTGCATTACTAAATTTAAGTCCCTAAGTGATCACTTTTCTCCAGTTAAGGACCAAACAAACAGGAAAAATCAATGCGTATACTTTCTAATTAAAATTCCTCACGTTCTAATTTGCATTATTGGAATAATTTAGGGGCTGCTTCTTTTTAAAAGTTAACGTGATTGATTTCGTATAATACCCTCGAGAATACCTAAAGCAAAATTATTTCTTTATTATATGCGCTTTAACGTTTTTAAGTTGCTATAATTAATTATAGTACAAAAATTCACCTAGATCGAGATCTAAAAAGAAATATGAATGTTTCAACGTCAGTATACAATTCTTGGTTTCTTGCTGTTGGTACGCCGACAATGTGTTTGATCGATTGTCAATAGTAACCAATGAAAAAGCATTTGTCGCTCACATTCCGAGAAACCTTAGTTTTCTATTCTCAAACAAAGTACAGAAGCCACCTTTTTTCGCAGTTATAAAAATACGAAATGTCATCTCTTTTCAGTTTGGTTTGACATTAATGGCAGTCCCAATGGATTTCGCAACTAAAAACGTATTGCAAGAACTCTTAAGAGAATGCACCAACAAATCGATACAAATTCCAGAAAGCTTTATCTTATACTACGTAAGCATGAAACGATGTTAAACCTGATCTTTAACCCAGCTTTAGGTGAAATTATTACTGTTAAACCCCTCCTGGGGGATACTTCCGGGAACGCTACCACATCGTAACGACGTGAGGTACCTTGTGAAACAGTGCGTGCAGAAATTAAGCAATCAATCGCACTCCAGCATCGTAACGTTAAAAATCCAACACTATTTTAAAGAAAACTTCGAAAATCTCGAAAATATGATAATAAAGAACCGGGCTGATCTTAAGGCGCGAATTTTGCCCTTAGAAAAAGATATTCTAGACGCGTACGTCGAGGACGAGGAAGGACTA